CCTACTTCACATTTTGATTAAAATCATTGTAGGGAGCTGAGGTCTGTTTCAGCTTGGGCTGTATCTGTCAAATTAGATCTCTTCTTTATTGAGCCCTGCTTTGGAAACTTTTCCAAAGGTTTCTATGCTGGTCCATTAATTGCTTGTCTTTCACATCAACAGAATATGCTGAGAGATGGACAGAGATTGTCTTCCTTGGAGAGATGAGAAAATTGCCTCCAGGTTGTAGTTCCTTTCTAAAATGGCTGAGAAAAGAGAGGTGTAAGTAGCAGAATGAGTCCTTGTTTAGAAAAGGCAGATATTTTCCTCTTCTACTGGTACTTAAAAGGGCTGTGGGCAGTGCAGGGTGGTGTCAGCTCTTTTGCTTGCACCAGCTCCAGACTGCACATCCCTCAGCTCTTAGATTCACCCAGACCTTGGCTTCATGTTCACTTTGCTGGCTCTCGGTAGATGTAACATATGCCCAGATGTGTGGGAATCCCCCAGTTTTCTCCTACGTGAAATAACAGATTTAAGTCCTATGTTTCAGAATATAGATGTGTTCTGTAATGTAGCTGGAGGAGTGTGGGAATGTGTGGGCAGCTGTGCTGTCTGCTTAGGGAGATTTGGGGGATTGTTCTTTGTTTGACTTGCTCTAATTTTCTGTCTTTAAATCTCCTGAAGCCTCAGGTTTGCCATCTGCTGAACAGAGGCAGGAGCTCCCCTGTTCCCAAGGCTGCGTGTAAACCAAATTTCACGTCATGTTTGTTCATTGTGTTGGGATTCCAGAACCAGGAACCCATCACTGATGCAAACTCTGGAGCATGCCCAAAGAGGGACAGTGAAAGGTCTGGATCACAAGCTTATGAGGAACAACTGAAGGAATTGGGATGGGTCAGTCTGGATAAGAGGAGGCTCAGGGAAGACATTATTGCTCTCTCCAACTGCCTGAAAGGAGGTTGTGGTGAGGTGGATTCGACCTCTGCTCCCAGTTAATAGTGATAGGATGAGAGGCAATGGCCTTAAGTTGCTCCAGGGAACAACTTCTTCTTCATTTCTTCTTCAGAAGAGTGGTGAGAAACTGGCACAGGTTGCTCGGGGATTGGTGGAGTCTCTGTCCCTGGAGGCGTTCCAGATCTGTGGAGATGAGGCACTGGTGGGGATAAGTTGATGGTTGGACTTCATGCTCTTAGAGGTCTTTTCCAGCGTTAATGATTCTAGGACTCTAAGCAATCCTAAAGGAAGAGCACAGGCTTCCCTTCCTTGGTGCTTTGGGTCTCTTTCTGCAGGGGCTGTGACAGTTTTCCCAATTCTGGTGGGAGCATTACTGGCAAGAAAGTGCTATGGAGGGCTTCTCCTCCTACCAAATTCAGCATTTATTCCCTTTGATCAGCCCTGTCTGAAGTCAGGGTTAGGCTGGAGGGCTGTGAGTCCTTGGTGATGGCCCAGCCATAAAATCGTAGAATTCTTAAGGTTGGAAAGTACTACAAAGATAATCTAGTCCAACTGTCACCTCATCCCCACCATGCTTACTAAACCATGTTCCTCAGTGCCACATCTGCTCTTTTCTTGAACACCTCCAAGGAAGGAGACTGTACCACCTCCTTAGACAGCCTGTAACATGGGGAGCACGGAGCCAGAATTAGGGTCCCCAGAGCACTAACTGATGGGATGGGGTGGGAAAGTGATGGCTGAGCAAGGCTCTGCTGGCATTTGTTGGCTGGGGAAATCCCTGTGCATGGGCATGGGATGGGGCTGGCTGGGGTAGAGCTGCTGCAGTGGCAAGGAGCTCCAGAGACATGAAAAACTCATCTTGGGGTTTTGCCTCTGTGTGTGTCCTGGGAGGCAGGGTTATGGCCAGGACTGCAAAAAGGAAGGTGAAAGGTAATAGAAATGCATTTCTGCTCTCAACAGCCCATTGCAAGCAATAGTGTTTATTTCAAATCATACCCTTAAATGAATTAATAGTTAGACACAGCTGCCATCTTAGCATAAAGAGGCAGTGGCCCAACTGTCTGTATTAGTGCTGGCCTTCCCCCCCTGTCAGACAGGTTGCATGAGGCCTGGCTGAAGGAAGCACCTCGTGCTTGGCTGGAGTACGCTCTGTTCTCTTGGCTTTATTGAGAGCTCAGGGCATTAATCTCCCTGCTTGACAGAAATCTTTTAGCTCCTTCATTTGTTACAGATGACAGCGTTCATCCACTGATCTTTGCTGAGAGGTGGCCGTGGGGTGGCTGCTTGAGGATGCTGTCAGTCTGCTTGCTGCTGCATGACAGGGAGAAGAAGGCTCCCAGATTAACGTCAAGGTTGTCCTTTGGCACCCAGCTGTGACCTGGGCTCTTCAGCTGAGCTTTGGGCTCTGGGGTGGCCAATGCAGCAAAGTCACGTGGAGGAGCTTAGAGAATTGCAGGGGTGGGTTTAGGTCAGGCTTGTAGAAGACAGAGAGGTGAAAGGTGGGAAACACCTGTAAGGGTGCATATGGCTGCTCATGGTGGGTGAGAAGCAGCTTGCGGATGAGCAGAGGTTGGGCATAGGAAGCTGTGGCTGCTGCGAATTTTGGGAAAAGCACTTGAGTTGCTGGACTGTTTTTACAGGCTTCAGGTGCCTGAGGAACAGATCTCTGCCTCCCTGTTTCTGCCACGACCCTACACTGTCCCTTAGCCTTCCTGTGCCTCAGTTTCCCTCTGTGCAGCGCATCTCCTTCAGGAATTGGATGCTGCCAAGCTTAATGGACATGAGCCATTCATGCCTGTGCCTGGGGCACTCCTGAAGCAAGGCTTCACTTTGCTTTAGGCACTACTGAGGTGCTGCTGGCGAAAGCAGTGGGTGAGCAGCAAGGGAGCCTCTTGCAAGCCGGTGCTTTATCCCGATGTAATTGTGGCACATCGTTACATGTATTTTGTTTCTACTTCTTCCCTGTTGGGTTAGGCCTGTAGTTAGGATCAAGTGGCACTGACAGTCAGCCAGGCATTACTCTGGCAAAATATGTCAGCTGGAACATTAAAATTGATTTTGTCTTTTGGCTCATTCTACTTACTGAGCAAGTCTGGAGCTGGGCCACAGCCTAAGCCCCAGCTGCTGTTTGCAGGGAGGTGCCTGCAGGATTTTTCCTGGAGGAGAAAAGTATGGCTTTCCTGTCAGCTCCCAGGTTTCATTCACTGAAGCATCTCACTGTGGCAGAGCTGCTGCCGTAAACTCTGCTTGGGTTCAAGAGTGTTCAGCAGCACTGAGAAAGACACTGCACGCCTGTGAAGGCTCTGCTTTCATGGGAGGAGATTTCTGCTTACCTTTTTGCTGATGTTTTGTCCTCCGGGTTGTTCTGGATCACTCCATGAGAGAGAAGTGACAGAGCAAGGCTCTGCCCTACCCTGAGCATCAGGCAGTCTAGCAAGAGCTCGGAGCAGGGTGGTTAATTAGCTGTATTTCAGCACATTTCATTTTAAAGTCTTTGATCGTGGCATGGAATTGTGGATCTGTCGCCAAGTTTGGGCTTCAAATGAATAAATAAATGATAAACGATCATTTGGCAGCAATGAACCTGCTGCACTCTCTTTGCATGTTTATGTGGTTTCTCTTCTTCCATCTGTTCCCTTCTTCCAGCTCTTCCTTTTGGGTTGCAGCCCCCTTTGCCTGGCCAATGGCAGCTCCCAGCCTTGCTGTGCAATGGGTGACATGAGGGCTGCCACCACAGTCAGCAAAATGAGAATGGAAGCTGGGCTGTGATGACGGCTATTGGAAAAGGCATCAAAATCCCTGTAAGGAGATAACAGGCTGAACAGAGTTTTCCTGCCTTTCTGCTCTCGATTTCCCAGCCTGTTTTCTCTTCGTTTCTCTGTCTTACAGTGGTTTTGCCTTTGGCAGGGCTGGTAGGTGGCTGGGTTGGTTAGTCCCTGCTCCTCTTGGGTGACCCACTCAGATGGGTATTTCTGAAGATGTTAGCTGTTTGGAGAAAGGCTTGTCATTCATTTGACCTGGAAAAGATTCCTTGAGGAAGGATTTGTGCACTGTATTAGAAACAACTCAAAGGTATTGATTTGCATGTGTTACGAGCATTATTACCTGCACGAAACGTGATGACTTTGGTCACCCGTGCCATGGGTGCACTCTACTTATGCAAAGACTTTGAGATGGAATTGAGCACACACAGCTGGAATAGTCCTGCCTGCATCTAATCTGGTTGGATGGGTAGGTCATGCTATTCTGTGCCCACTGCAGGAGGAGGCAGGAGCAGCAGAAATGTAGTTGGGTCTCTGTATTTCTCCCCCTTCTCCCTCCCTTCCACCTGACATTCTCAGATTGCTGCATTTTTCACTCACAAGAGCAGAATTTGCATTTTTTTCTCAGTATGCCGTGAGGCATTTTACTTTTCAGCAACTCCTTAAAGAGCTCCCTTGTGCTTGGTGAATGCAGAAACTGTCACAAACCCCACCACCCTTCCCTCCCCCTAATCTGGGCTGCTGCTTACTCAGGGAGCTTCAGACAGAGCTTTGATGACAATTCCAAGGTGCTGAGCAAGCAGCTGTGGCATTGCAGTCGCTCTGAAGATGCCTTGTTTTCTTGCAGACCTCTTGTCTTTTGCTCCATGTGTGCAGACCCTGGGCACAGTGCCATGCAGCCTGGTTTGGTGGAAGGCTGTGGTTCCTTCCCGTGCTCCAGGTGGAGATACTGCACTGATGCTCAGCGTGAGGGAACACAGAGTGGTGGGTAAGGAGGAGGATGCTGTAGAAGGTATACAAAGATAGGGTGCTAAAATTTGCAACAATCAATTTTGGCCCCTTCCAGAGTTAGAGATGAACCCTTGTGCTGGAGGTGAGAGTAAACTGTGGTGCAGGCAGTGGTTCATTGCATCACCTGCAGTTGTATTGCAACTGGTTGCCACAGCTAACTGATGTATCAGTGGTACACATCCCCATGGAAATCTGAAGGGAATCACCAGTGCCTCCTGCTCTGCAATTTATGGTATTTTGTTTCTGAGGCTCATTAATATTTATTTGTCTCTCTCCTCTTCTCTTGGTTTCCAGACGAACGATGCTGCAGGAAATACCTGGAACTGGCTTTACTTCATCCCTCTCATCATCATCGGCTCTTTCTTCATGCTCAACTTGGTGCTGGGCGTCCTATCAGGGTAAGGCACTAACAGCTTCTTTGTCTCTACCTGGATACCAGAAGGAACAGTGTATTGGTTTTAGCACTGTGGAGAGGATGTAGGTAAAAAAGAGCAGATGAGTGATCTAACATGCTGTACCCTGTCCCCATCTACCCTTCCCTTGCTGTGATTGGTTTCTGTGACACTGTAGAGCTGTAGGTCACAGGATGAGCTGGCAAGAAATCTTTTGTTGAAATGATAAACTGAGGGGAGGTTGGTTGGATATGAGGAGGAAGTTTTTCACGCAGGGTGGTGAGGCGCTGGCACAGGTTGCCCAAGGAGGCTGTGGATGCCCCATCCCTGCAGGCATTCAAGGCCAGGCTGGATGTGGCTCTGGGCAGCCTGGGCTGCTGGTTGGTGACCTGCACACAGCAGGGGGTTGGAACTGGATGAGCACTGTGCTCCTTTGCAACCCAGGCCGTTCTATGGTTCTATGATACAATTCTATGATTCTGAATCATGATGTGTTAAGTGATCTCCCTCTAATTACACCAACTTGGGCCTGTTCTGCTGCTGCTTACTCTTGTGCTGCCTTGAAAATCAGTGTTCACACTGCGTTTGGTGCAGCATGGGGAAATAAGAAGCTCAAACAAAAGCTAATTAAAAGATATCAGTTTAAATTTTTTTAATAAACTCACGCAGTTTAAGCCAGTGTCTGGATTTTAGGAGCATCCTGGTCTCTTGATATTCAAATTCCAGGGGTCAGCCAAGGATTCTGCATTTGCTGGCCACGAATGTTGGGTCTGGGCCATTGTGGAGATCAGGCTGCCAGGTTTGAAGCCTAGCTGGAACGCCCCAGCGTCTGTGGAAATTTGATCTGCATTTAACAATCTGACTCATCTTAATGATTTGTGAGCTCTTAGACTGTGGCACCTCATTTTGCACACAATTTCTTCTTTGCTTATCCAGGTGATCTCAATTACGAAGGTCTGTAAAGATGCAGATTTATTTCTGTCTCTTGGCAGCTGAGGAAGAGAGAAAAGAGTTAATGTTGTTAGCTGATAAATGCCTTTTGGTGCTGCACGTTTGCTCTTTAAGTTACTAGAGAAAGAAAATCGTTTTCTGAAGAATAGATTTGTGCTTAAGTTCAACATTTTGTTAGAGATCCTCATCCTAGTGCAAGAGCTGAGGTGAGGAGTAGGAAGCAGCAAGGCAGTTCTGTTTGAGGATGAGGATATATGCTCTGTCTGACAAGACGAGGTCATGGAGAAGGCTGAGTGGTCCAACACATTGATTGCTTGGTGCAGCAATAGTGGCCATGATCAGTGGAAGCCACTGAATCAACGCATTTCCTCAGACATCCTATCATATCAGATGCTCTGCAAAGGAGAGCTTGGTGGCTGTGTGTGTTTGACATATGATTTAAAGCAAGAACCAGAGGCAGGGTTGAGTGTGGTTCATTAGGTAGTTCATCTTTTCTGTTCTGTTTTCAGCCCATATAGGCTGAAATGGATGCTTGTGATTTAAAAGAAAGCCTGGAAGCCTGCAGGCTCCCGTTCCTTCATCTGATTCAAGAGTGTTTGGTGACTGAAAGATGGGGACCTCAGACTGGCTCTCCTGAAAGCCTCTTGTTGCTTGGGGCAAGATATGAATATTATATAAATGTCTATCTTCTGAAGGGGATGAAAAGTAAGGAGGCAGTTCTGCATGTCTCGTTTCCTTTTGCTAGTCATAAGGATAATGATATTTTCTTCGCAGAGGGAAGCTTCTAAATTTTATTCTGTGTCGTGGTTCGATGTCCTTGGGTAGAATAATTCCTGGGGAGAGACTGAAGAAAATAAACCGTGCAGCGCAGGTGTTGACCACATTGCTCAGCAGGCTCCTGGTGGGCTTGCAGCTATTGAGAAATGAAGAAACCTGTGTGTGCTGGAATGGCCCGGAGAGGGAAAGACCTTCTGAAGGCACAGGCTGTTGTCATATTTACTAACAGAAAGCCTCAGACAATACTTCAGAAAAATACGCATTTTAGCTGGAGGTTATTCTTTGCACAAGTCTCTGTGCGTGGTTTTGATCACTGAAAGAGAGCTACAGAGAGAAGGGGTTGTTGGTAAAGGCATGCTGACTTGGGTAGAGTTTGGCTCAAGGGCATAAGGCAATCCCCATTACAGCAACAGCGTCAGCTGGTGGCTCCTGCAGTGGGGACCCTCAGCGATGTCCCACCTTCTTTCTGTAAAATAAACTTAATTTAGGGTTTAGGCTTCTACAGAGAGTCCACAGTCCAGTTGATCTCAGCATTTGCTCTCTTGCCTGCTTATTTTCATGATCTGAGCACCTCACAGCCTTGGGATGGTGCAGTGCTGTGCCCTCTTCCCTCTCTGCACTTTACAAAGGGAGCAGTGGGGTGGAAAGAGGGGGCCAAGATTTGATCACTGCTTTCACAGGCTCTTTTGAGATCTTTGTTACTGTTGATTTTTTGGTCTTTTGCCATATTCATAGAATCATTAAGGTTGGAAAAGACTTGTAAGATCATCAAGTCTGATCATCAACCCATTGCCACCATGCCCATGTCCCTCAGTGCCACGTCTCCACGGTTCTTGAATACCTCCTAGGACAGTGATTTTACCACTTCCCTCTGCTGCCTGTTCCAGTGCCTGACCATCAATATTCATCGTCAGAATTAAAGAGTTAATCTTCAGTATGCCCCTGTACTTTGGAAAGCCACAGAAGAGCCTTTTACCAGAGTGTTTTTCATTGTCCTTGGTTTTGAGTCATTTTCTCTCATGTGTTTGTACTCTGTGCTGGACAATAAGGAAGGCACATTCCTGAGGTAGGTATGTGGACACTAAAATATGGCAATATGAATAAGCTGAAGTGACAGCAGAGTTATTTAGCTTCCTACTGACGCTAGATTGTACAGAATTTTTCTGTAACTCTTAATGGAATTTTCTGCCTTTCTGGAGTTGCTTAAGAACCCAGGTCAGCAATGGGCAAATACCACCTCATAAGGTGGGCTTAGCTCCTGGGTTTCTCTGTTTGAGCAGTGGAGATAGATTGGCCTGGTTGGGATCCTGCGCCTCCTCTGCTAGCAAAACATGGCAGCATTTGCAGTGCAGATGTTACAGGAGAGATGATACCTGTTTTAAAGTAAAGAGCAAACAACCTTTCCCCTCTGTTGCTGCTTCTGGAATTATAATAAATGCAAAGACAGGGAAGTGGCAGGGAGGTTGGAGATATGTAAGTCTTAGTAAAAAGTTGGTATAAAAATAACCCCAAATCTCAGGCCACAGATGAGATGTCAAAATCCTCTGAGTACATGGCTAAAGAGGTAATTAAAAGCACGTGGACGTTATCGTTCAGATTAAATGAGGCTCTTTGTGCTGTACAGAGTGTCCTCCTCCAGCATGCTGATCAAAGCCCTGCTGGTGCTCTTGTCAGCAGCTAATATTTAAGCACCCTCTCTAAAAGGAGCTCTCTGCCTTCTATTCCTCTCCTGTTCCTGACAAAAGCTCTGCAGCTACTGCTGGCACAGCGTGGCTTTCCTTGTGCCACCAGATATTGAGATATCCCCAATGGTCCTAGGATATGGGGTGCAGATTTTGGGAACACTGTTTTTCCGATGGTGCAATAGGAGTGCTGGGTTCTCCTGTATCTTTACAGGATGTGTTGAGGTGGATGTCATGCCTGCCCACCACAGTCCTTAAGATGGATATCTGCCTTGGGAAATTGGGAAGTTGGTAGCTATTTCCCCCACCTCCCCCCAGCCAGGTTGTGGGTCATGAGTATGAGTGTGCTTTTCTCAACCTATGGACATGGAAGGATGTACAGCTTTCCCTGTGTATTGTGGTGGTCACACATAAAGTGACCACCGTCACAAGTGGACTGCAGCTCAAACAACTCCTACAATCCTTCTGTCTTGCTTACAAAAGACGTGGGGCTCCAGCAGGGGCACAGCATCCAGCTTGCAGTGTTGTAGAGGTAATACAGCTTTATGTTCCTTCTTGGGACTTTTCCTCTGTACTTTTCACTGTGAATTCTCCCTGCTTTCCGTTTTCACTCTTTGATGCTTGTTTGATCTCTCTATGAACTGATAAAACTCAACTGCCCTGAGGAAATCAATGGAGCAGGAGAAACGAGGTTAACTTTATCTGGAGCAGCACTTGATGAATGCTATGGCTGATTTGTGGGAAGGCCAGGAGAGCATAGGGGGTGTGGTGGAATCACCATCCCTGGAGGTGTTCCAGGGCCGTGGAGATGTGGCACTGAGGTCATTGGGCATGGTGGGGGTGGGTTGGGGTTGGACTTGGTGATCTTAGAGGTCTTTTCCAACCCGAATGATTCTATGGTTCTAGCAAGATTTGACCTGAGACACCTTTTATTTTCCCCAAAACACACTTGTTTTTTGTTTGCTGTCTTTGATGCTAACTGGAAAATGCTCTGTGATGATTCTGAATTTGTTTTATTGAACTCTGCACTTGGCTCTGTGGTTTCCAGTGAGGAGAAAATAAAATCTCCCTTGAAGTAGGCGAGTCCTGACCAATGCTCATTCATTTGTATGCCTTTGCATTGATTTCTTACTATCAGGATATCAGTAGGCATCTGGTGGCTCTTCCCATCCATCTCCATAAGCACCATTATCTTCCCAGTGGTTTCCCTTTCTTTGCAGTGACTGAAAAGCTGTTTTTCTCATCCTGATGCTGTTCCCCCCTCAGCCCAGATATGGGCTGAAGGGATTACTGAGTTTCCTACTGCTTGGATTGAATTGGACATTAATTTTACCTGGCAATGAGCTGAATGATTCTGGGCGATGCATTTGTTACTGTTTCGACGCTTTGGATTACACAATGCAAGGAGGATAAATGTTATCATGGGATGCTGTGATGGAAACAATTTGATTTATTTCAAGTCTAAGTGCTTTCTGGCACTGTTTCCCACAGCGGTGGGGAGTGATGTGGGTGATGAGACAGTGGGAGCACCGTCAGGAGAGGGCAGCCTGCTGGTGATGATGATGCGTTGGAATAGCGAGTCCGTGCCTTGTGAGT